TCCCCTATTATTTACATCTTACATTAGTAAAGTTCGTTTGTTATAACTAATTAACCAGTATTGATACATTATTAGTAACTAATATCCAGAGTTTATTCCGATTTGCTTAGTTTATCCCTAATGTCCTTTTTTTTTTTTTTTTTTGCTATTGTAGTGGATTGAATTAAGTCCCTCCAAAACTCACTGAAGCTTGAATTGTGTCCCCAAGTTTCATATATTAGAAGCTTAATCCCCACTATAACTGTTGAGGATGGGAAATCCTATTACGATAATTGAAAGGTGGTAGGAAATCCTATTACGGTAATTGAAAGGTGGTACCTTGAAGAGGTGATTAGGTTGTAGGACCATGCAGTAGTGAATGGATTAAAAATGGTGGTCATAGGCTTGGTTTGGAGGGCTTTAAACGGAGAGTGAATGAGGATGTTGGTCTCTTCCTCTCTCTGCTCTCTCTGCTTCCATCATCCTGCATTGTGAGACCCCTGGGTCACTGTTGCCACCACCAGATGGACTTTGGACTTCCCACCCTCAGAAACTGTAAGCAACAGATATCGTTTTCTTTATGAATCACCCAGTTCCAGGTATTTTGTGATAAGCAACAGAAATGGACTAATACAGCTACCTAACTTTTCTTTTTTTTTATTAGCATATTCATTATTACAAATCATACTTATTCTTTATGCCCCTTAACCAATCTCCTTTCTCTAATAACCATAGACTTGTTCTCTTCTTCTTATAGATTGACTGTTTCTTTATTGATTTATTGCCTAGATGATCTGTCCAGTACTGAGAGAGTGTGTTCAGGTCCCCCACTATTATCATAGAGCAGATGCTTCTTCAGTTACTCTGGAGTGTGCTTTGTGGGCAGAGAGGACCAAGAAGACCTCTTCTTTTTTTTTGGTCTCCACTGGTGACTCTCCTTATGTCAGTGCAGTCAAGTGGCAAGCCATTTGCACAGTGGCTGTGACTACTGCTATAGCAACTAGCTGCTTTTGTGGCAGCCATGGCAATTGCAGTGGCTATGGTGGGCTACCCATGTGGAAACGGTTTTTGGTTTGCTCTTTACCTGGCTGTGGCTGGGTTCAGCTTCCCCTGGTGCTATCTAACTTTTCCATTCCTAATGTCCTTTTTCTGTCCCAGGATCTAATCCAGGATACCACATTATATTAGTTATTATGTCTCTTTAGGTTCCTCTTGGCTGTGGCAGTTTCTCAGACTTTCCTTGTTTTTGATGACCTTGACAGTTTTGAAGAGCACTGGCCAGGGACTTTGTAGGGTGCCCCTCTATTAGAATGTGTTTGATGTTTTCTTGTAAGACCAGTATAGCCTTTTGACACACTCTAATGTCTGAGAAAGGAGTACAAGTTTTTAACTTGGGAAAATGGCATGTCGTTTGAGTCAAATATGGCAGAGCAGCCAAGGGTAATGACAGGAGGGCTTGTGACCTGAGAGTCAGGCACTGGAGCCCAGGTGCAGAGAGCCAGGTTCTGTACCCTCCTTCTGTCTGCTTGTGTAACTCATTCCCCGCCTCTCTCCTGCCAGGTTGCCATCCTATATTGCCCTTTTTCCTAAGTCAGAAAATTCGGCTTTATGGCCCCTTTTCTGACAGTGCATCAGACAAGGAATGGTGGAATTTCTGTGGGCTAGAGCAGTGCTACTCCAAGTGTGATCCAGAGACCAAGGTGACCTGCCAGCTGGCCCTGGCCCATGCAGAACAAGAAGTACAGAAAGTGAGAGAAGCATTTGGGAACTTCTGTAGCAATTTGATCTTGCTAGGCCATTTTTGTTTTGTAAAAGTATTGGTCTGCAGTGGAAAGAAAGTTTTTAAGAAAGTCCTTTACAGAAAGTGAGAGAAGCATTTGGGAACTTCTGTAGCAATTTGATCTTGCTAGGCCATTTTTTTTTGTAAAAGTATTGGTCTGCAGTGGAAAGAAAGTTTTTAAGAAAGTCCTTTACAGAGAGTTTGAGAAGCGGCCAGGCAAGAAGATACCCAGGCAACTGGGGACATGCCGTGAGGCTGAGCTTGTAGCAACAGCTCTAATGCAGGAGGCTGGTGGGTTTGTTAAGCGTGACTGGGAATGGGGCTGGGATTTGAAATGTGGGCACGTGGCTTAGTGTAATCAGTGGAAGTGCAGCTGAGGCCCACCAAAGTGGAAGGAAAGAAGCGTTGAGTTCCGGGGAGGGCCTAGTTGAACATAAAACACGCCAACCTGCAGAGGATCTATCAGCGCGTGGTGCCACCTTGGCCAGCAGTGCTGGGCAGAGCAGGGATGGGCATCAGGAGTGTGACTTGTGGTGGCTTGCCCACGTTGGAGAGGAGCCCAGGGGACTCCAGAGTGTCATGAAAGAGCAGCGTGGCAGGGAGCAAGGAGTGACTGCAGGCTCTGCAGTTGACCTGGGCTTCTGCCCCAACTCTGCTATTTTCTAGCTGTGTGATTTGGAGGCCCAGAGAAATGCAGCAACTTTCCCCATCTGTGAAAAAAAAGGATAATATTGCCTACTGCTTTCCTTTCCTCAGGCTGCTGTAACAAATTACCACAAACTGGGTGGCTCAAATTAACAGAAATTTACTCTCTCACAGTTCTGGAGGCCCAAAGTCTGAAATCAAGGTGTCAGTAGGGTTGGCTCCTTCTGGGGGCTCTGAGGGAGAATCTGGTCCAGGCCTCTCCCCCAGCTTCTGCTGGTGGCTGGTGATCCTTGGTGTTCTTTGGTTTGTGAATGCATCACTCCAATCTCTGCCTCCATCTTCCCAGGGAGTTTTCCCCTCTGTGTCTCTGTGTGTCTTTTCTTCAACGGGACACCAATCATTAGATTTAAGGCCCACCTTAATCTACTATGACCTCATCTTAACTAACTACATCCACAAAGACCCTATTTCCAAATAAGGTCATATTTTGAGGTTCTGGGTACACGTGAATTTTGGTGGGATGTTGTTCAACCCATTATAGTTACCTCACAGGATGGTAAGTTCAATAGCGCACAGTGCCTGGCCCATGGCAGGTATTCATTGGTGGGTTTTCTTTCTTAATTGCTGGGCCTGGAGGCAAAGAGCAGTTCTAGATTCATTGACAACATTGTAAGGCCCCTGGTTGTGTGTGTGTGTGTGTAGGAAGAAAAGGCGGGGAGTCAACAAGTAAATCCAGATGCACAAGGAGATTAGTAAGAAGTTATGTTTAATGTTCTGAAGTGAGGGACACAGGAACGGCTCCCCACCAGGACCACCAGAGGGCCAAATTACCCAATCCTGATTTTCATCTTTATTGACTTCTCGGTGGCATCTAACACTCTGTTTCCTTCTCTGATACCACATTCCCCTGGTTCCCATCTGTTATTGTCTGTTTCTTCTAGTTTCTTCTCAGACTCACCTTCTCCTGGCCACTTCTTGAATATGGCCTGAGGTGATGAGGGTGCTGTTGCCAGGGAGGAGCAGAGTCAGAACCTGAAACCACAGCATCCTAATCTCAATGACCCTCTCAGTGTTTTCCTCTCCTTACTGCTGAGGAAGCTGCTGGAGGATATCCCCTGGATGTCCCATGGGCATCTCCTGCTAGAATGTGCAGAAGTCCTGTTGCGTCTACCCCCGAGGGACTTCTGAATTCATCCCCAAAGCCTCTGCCTCTGCCGCTCCTTTCTTGCCTGGGCTGTTGCAGTGACCTCCTAACTGATCTGTGCAAGTTCAATCTTCAACCCATTCTCCATGACATTTTAACCATTTTCAAATGTATAATTCAGTGGCATAAATTACATTCACAGTCTGTACAACCGTCACCACTATTTCCAGAACATTTTTTTTTTCCTTTTTGTCTTTTTTTCGTGTCCGGCAACGGATCACAACCCTCAGTGTCGCGCCCGTACTGGACCGGGACCGGCAACGGGATCGCAACCCTCGGTGCTGCGCCCGC